AGACTTAAGTGCCACAGCTCTTGTACTCCTTTCTCCATGCACCTCACCCACTCCCGAGGTTCACTTCTGTGAATCCCAGACTCATAGATCCACCTACCTATTCACACATCTTCATCTGATGCCCAATAAACACTGCAAATGTAACATGTCCAAGTCTGACATCACCAAGCGTGTCCCTTTCCAGGCCTTTCTCAACTCAGAAAAAGGTGTCAGGAGCTTAGAAATGGGCTCATGCTGGAAACCTGGGGGTCATTCTTTACCCCTCTACTTGCCCCTCTGTCCATATGTAGTCATCAAGAGCTTCCAACTTTATTTCTAAAATATTACAAAAATATTACAGCCCCATCTGTCACTTCTGTCTCCATGACCAGGTAGGGCATCACCTTTTATCTGGCCCCTTCATATCCTCTCAACTGCTCCCTCTGACTCTTCTTTTACCATTGACAGCTTTCCAAGCCCCAAATCTGATCAGATCATTCAATCTCCATGTATTTGATATCTCGCGGTCCTCTCTCCCCCCTTACACACACTCTCACTCTCTCTCTCTTTCAAGAATTCCTAGGAAAACAGAAGTCAGAAATCCTTATTGTTGTTGTTATGTGCCACTGAATCAGAACTGACTCATAGCTGACCCTCTGGCAGGACCTCAGAGGCTGTAAATCACACAGGAGGAGACTCCCCATCTTTCTCCCATTGCGAAGCTGATGGAATCAAACCACTTGTCTTTGGGCTGGCAGCACAACTCCTTACCACTAGGCCACTAGAGCTTGCTCGGAAATCTTTAGATGTGGTTTTTCAAGCCATGAGAATAAAAACCGCGCCCTATAGCCAGGAAGGCTAATGAGGGTGTGATATTTACAGTATTCCTGAGAGAACAAATAGACATTTGTTGGGTGAAAATAGCTAGGGGGTTCCCATCAGAGGAAGCAGCACACCCCAAGGCACAGAACTGTGACTGGGCCCAGGATGCTCACTGTGTCAACAAAGCACACGCGGTACCTGACACAGAGAGGGTTCCATTCTAACAACCATTGTAACTCAGTTCTCATAGTAAGTTGAACCTCTTTCCCCCCTCATTATTGCCTCAGCCTGATATAATAAAATTGAACATCTGTCAGTGGGTGCTTGAAAATTAAAACATCAGCAAACTATGTGTCTCAATGTCACTAACCATGCTGTTGTTGCTAAGTGTCACAGAGCTACAACCAACCAACTGACCCTCTGAGGGGGCTTCAGAGGCTGTCAGTTTCATAGGAGGGACTGCCCGTCTTTCTCCTGTGGAGAGTAGTTGGTGGATTTGAACTGCCTGCTTTTGGGTTGGCAGTGCAACTCCTTACCAATAGCCCATGGGAGCTACTAACTATAAGATGTTAACCGATCTCCACCCTCTACCAAACAAGAACAAGTACGGTTCATCATCGCTCCAATATGTCCTAAATCAGGGACTGCTTGTATTAGTAGGGAACACTCATGGCCTAGAAGCAAGAAGCTACGCTGCAATCCTGAAGGCAAGAAGTTCGAGGCCACCAGCTGCTCTGCAGGGGAAGGAAGGACAATCTCATCTGGTGTGATTACCTGCCTCTGAAAACCCGCTGGACGGTCAGCTATGGATTGGTTCCAACTCCATGGTAGGTACACAACAACAACAACAACAACAACAACTTGTATTAGTGGTAATAAATAAAAAGAAGAAATGCATATGTAAGTTCAAGCAAGTTTTCTCAAACACCAGTGTTTTACACACTGTCCTAGGCTGGGTGTCCCAGAAGGAGAGTCTGAGTTAGCTGCTACAGAAGGGACTTCCTCAAGGAGGCTCTCAGGGATGGGGAAGGGAGAGCCGTGGAGCAGCATGGGAAGAAGCTCAGCAAAGTCAAGGTCTGGATCCCAAAGAGCATTCTGGAGCAGGGATGGCAGTGCAGGTGTGCAGAGCTGGTTCCCCCTGCAAGTAAGAGAACCTCTCCTTTCCCACCCCACTGCCCCTCCTACATCCTGGTATTTGGGTGAAGCCAATTTTCCTGAGACTGGAGCAAGTGTGAGTTCGCAGACAACACTCCCAGCAGCTGGACAGTGGATGTAGTTGATGGCGGCTTGGGAAGAGGAATCCAGGTAAGGAACCGACACTTCTGTTACATGCCCTCGGAGGCAGGGGCTACTCGTCCCATTTGATGTCGTTGATGTGTTGCTGTCAAGTCGGAACCAACTCAGAGCTGACCCTCCAGCAGGTTTTCAGCAACAGTAAATTGCACCGGAGGATAATTCTTATTCTTCTCCCACAGAGCAGACGGTGGATTTAATCAGCGTGCCTTTGAGATTGCAGTGCAGCTTCTACGGAGACTCTGGATTTCCATTCATTCATTGTTGCACTTTTCTCACCTCCAAACGCTCCCCCCTAGTACACTACCCTCTTGGAAAAGTAAAAGAAAAGTTCTTTCATTGTTTTACAATCCCTCCCCCCAGGTCCATTCCACTGTACAGCCTTTGCTCTGGACTCCTGTCATGACAAAAACACCTAATAATTTCCCCTCTTAAACAGTTTACTCCCTCACCTGTTTCAATGCAGTATACATTATTGAACCCATCCTTCTCAGTCTCCTCCCAAGCCCGAGGTCAGTCCTACTTTCAACAGTGGCACCATGCAGTATTTGTCCTTTTGTGACTGAGATACTTCACTCAGCATAATGTCCTCCAGGGTCACCCATTTTGAATAATATTGCATGAGTTCCTTGTTTTTCAATGCAGTGTAGTATTCCATTGTGTGAATATACCACAGCTTCTCTATCCATTCATTTGTTGATGGGCACTTAGGTTGTTTCCAACTCCTTGCTATTGTGAACAAAGCCACGATAAACATGGGTGTGCATTGGGTTTTTTAAAATTATTATTATTATTATTATTATTTGTGTGTATGTGTACCATCAAATCAGATCTGACTGGTACGGGAGGAGATTGTCCCTCCTTCTCCAGCAGAGCATGTGGTGGATTCAAACTGCTCACCTCTGGGATTGCAGTGCAGCTCCTTGCCACTAGGCCACCAGAGCTCGCCAAGCTCTCATTTGATGGAAATCGGGAATCACTTTTTAAATATAAGTGAACCTGACTGGTGAAAGAGCTGGAATTAGAATAGCTAAGTCTGCTGGCTTCCAAGCTCGTCTCTTTACCCCTTCACTGGTCACCCCAGGAAGGAGATTTACAGCCAGAGATTATCAATCCCTATAAGGCATGAATAGAGTCTTCTCTCAACAGGAAGAGATGTGACCTCTACCAGGTCTTCAGCTCCAAGAGGAGGCTGAGGGTGCTGAAGCCTGCACCGAGAACTGCATTTCATCCCCAGACCATCCAGGCTAAGTCTGGTATAAAAATCCAACAAGGTCTGGGGAGGGGCTGAGGGAGTGAGAATTCGTCAACGTGAAAGCAGTTCTACGGGAATTTTGTGGAGGTCTGCAAAAACCAGACAATGGAGATACATTTGCAAAAGAGACTTCGAGCACCTAAGAACAGTCAGAAAGGTTTTAAAAGAGGACACAGTCGGCAGAATATAGAGCCCTGGGGAGATTCGGGCTCAGCACTATTTCTAAATAAAGGAGATGGTTTCAGGAGAAGGGTTACATCAGAGGGCAGGTTTTTAACATGATAAAATGTGGGAGCACCTTCCAGAAATGGCTCCTCACTCGGGTCCTGGGCCTCCCATGAAACAAACAGGGCTGCTGTTCGGGGTGTGGGGGGGGTGGCTGGCTCTGAAGCCTGGCAACCCCGTGCACTAGGATGTACATCCGTCCTGCAGATCTGACTGATGTTGAATCATTGGGATTTCATGTGTTAATTATTGCAGGAGATTGCCAGGCCTTTCTTCCTAGTCTGCCTTGGTCTGGAAACACAGCTGAAACCTTAACAAATTAGCATCAAAGCCACACAGAAGCCTCTACTGACAAATAAGTGCACGGGCCAAGCCTCAAACCCGGATCTCCAATGTGGAAGACCAGACATTAAATGTCTTTACAAAATGTATTTTATGCGATTTAGCATGTGGCGTTTCCCGTTGATCCCCTGTGGGCTCTGGGACTGACTTTCCCCACATGGTTATGCCAATCCTTCAGTGACTGGAAAAACAGAATTGGTGAGAAAATACACTGTGAGAAGATGTTCATACGCACGTGTACATGTGTGAGTTTAAAGTCTGAAAAGAAATACCCTAGGGAGCTCTGATGGCCTAGTGGCAAGAAGCTGCACTGCAATCCCAGAGGTATGCCGTTTGAATCCACCAGATGCTCTGCTGGAGGAGGAGGGGCAATTTCCTCCTGTACCAGTCAGATCCGAAAAATAAATAAAATAAAAATACACAAAACGTTTATCTTTAAAGACAAAGCCAGGGGTGGCCCACTGAGCCACAAGAAGCTGCAGATTCTGAGCAGTTAAGCTTTGAAATCAACCAAATCAGCACAGACGACATCTCAATTGCTGCCCACAAGTAAAGAGACCACAGTCCTTAGCAGCTCCTCCCATCAAGATGCGGGTCCCCAGTATCTGGACTGCCCATGTGACGTGTCCTGACCAATGAAATGGCGAGGAGGTGTCACGTGACATTTTCAAGCGGAAGCTTCAAGGGACCTTGCAGTTTCAGCCCCTGCTGTTCCAGGACCCCCTTTCCCCCCAGGCTCAAGTTCATCTGCTGGAGACGAGAGACCATATGGGGCAGGATCCTCACTCTATCTTCTCACACCTCCCAGCTCGTGGCTGGCCTGACAGCTGACCTCACATTTCTAGGGCCATCAGTTTTTAATGACTTCCATTTCTAAGTCAACTATGGCTGGCGAGTTGATTCACAGTAACCACAAGAGCTCTAGCCTGATTGTCCTTTGTAAGGAGACCCAACTAACACTCAGTGTGAGAGGAGAGCACAGTGGACCGTCCTCCCCTCCCTGTGTGTCTCCCACCTTGTCCCCAGCAGCATCCGGGTACCAGCCAACCCCAGGTATGGACGGGCTCAGGGAGGAGGCACCCACCTGGCTGGTCGACAGGAGCTCTGGGTTTCCGTCACTCATCCCCACGTAGGCGCTGTCACCATCAAACTAGAACAGAGACAGAGATGGGGTTCTCGTTAAAACACTCTCGGGAAATACGGGGGGAAGGTCAGAGGGCTGTCCAGGAACTGGAGGGTCTAGATCTGAATGTGCTGAGGGCGAAGGGCTGGGAGCCTAGAATAGATAAGAGCAGAGGCCAGGACCCCACTGTAGCAGGGCAGAAGGAGAACCCCTGTTCTGTGCGCAGGCCAGTACCATCAGTCACACACAGAGCCACAGAGGGAAACTTTCTACTATGTTGTCATGACAGAACTACATCCACCATGCACATATGTATATAATGTGCAAGCCATCTAATGATCTTATAAACCAAACACACACACACACTCTCTCTCTCTCTCTCCTTCCCTCCCTCCTTGGAGCCTTCTAAACCGTAAGAGAATACACGTTTACTTAAAGCCATCCATCCACCTGTGGTATCACGGTTACAGCAGCAGTAGCCAACAATTAAGTGATTAAGACACTGGTCCACGGGCACAGCAAGCCGCCACATCAGACACTGAGCTACAATCCATCCCTGGGATTATGCAACACCCAAACTCCTCAACTGATGAGGGTGAAGTCAGGTTGAAACTCCGTGCCCTCCAGCTACTACTCTCCTAAGTGACTTGTCCTCTCCGTCCTTCATTCAGGCTTATTAGCCCTTAAGCCATTCCTGAACACCAGCAGTGAGAACTGTGGTTGGAACCACTTCCAGGGAGAAGAAGAATCCTGCGTTCTCAAAAGCTGCCATGTCTGAGTTCAGGGAAACGTCTCTGCAACAAGAGTGCAAGAAGCTGCACTACAGTCCCGAAGAGCGCCTGACTGGTGCACGTGGTTAGCTCCCTCAGCTGCTAACCAAAAGGCTACTACGGGGTTGTGTGCACCCAGGAGTAAGCTGGAAGAAAGGCTTGGTGATCTACTTCCAAAAACCAGCCACTGAAAACTTGACAGAGCACAGTTCTGACACACAGGAAGTCATCATGAATCGAAAGTGACTCCACGGTCCCTGATGTCTCTGTAAATGGAGAAGCCAGCAGGTTCTCCTCTCTCTGACCTTGAGCTGGGGTTCTGACTGAGGCTCTCATCGCTCAAACAGGGATAATCATTAGGATGACACAAGAAAGGGCAAGGTTCAGATATATTGTCCAAAGGATTTCTATGAAATCTATGCCAAGTTGTAGGCAACTCAAATATGTGTGTGTGTGTGTGTGTATGCAGGTATATATATATATATATATATATATATATATATATATATATATGCGCAGGTGTGTATATATATGCAGGAGTATATGTGTGTATATATATATATATATATATATACACACACACATATATATACAGGTGTGTGTATATATATGTAGGTATATGTGTGTGTATACATATACATATACATATACATATACATATACATATACATATACACACACACGGGCGCAGGTATAAGCAGTTCACCCTTCACGGGATGCTAATTCATGCAGAGGACCTGGTTCAGCTCTAATGAGTTCCCGCCTGTGAAGCATCCTTGAGTCGCAAGAAGCAGAGCCAGAGGCAAGGGCTCAGTGCCTATAATTTTGAGGAAATGGTCTTTAGGAACTGCTTGTGAAGGAAGAAGAGCTGAAGAAGAAAGCACAGGAAGAAAGTCAGCAAAGATGTGGTCCCAGCTGAGCACTGCTTCCTCCTGAGTCTGCGGGGAGCTCTGGAGCAGGAATGGTACCAGGACAGTCCCAGCAGGAAGCGCTGGGCTGGCCACTGTTGCCCTCTGCAAGTCACGGACCAGCGGCTGCCTTCAGCGGACACTGGGGGAAGTATAACCTTCTAAGCAGGGTGGTCCCCATTAGGCCAAAGGCAATTCTGCAGAGAAGGGGGGAGCTGTAAACCACGTGGGGCCAGCCTGACAGCAGACGGGCGGTGAGACCTGCTGGCTTGGAAGGGGTGTGGGGGTGGGATCTCAAAAGCAACCGGCACATTTTTTTAATTGAACAGCTTACTTTCTTTTGATTAGGTAATGCATCATTACTATTACTCTACGTGGTATAGCACTGTCTGTGTATTGCTGTACAGAGGTAACCCATGGTTGCTGTGATGCTAAACACCGTGACACTGATGTGTCAAATGCGATCATGGTTATCCATGGTGGACAGTGTTTGGTGGAGCTTTTCCCTATTAAAACAAGCTCAGAAGCAGGAGTTCCCTCCAGAAACCCTATGAACAGTGCTCAGGTCTTCATAGGGTCGCTAAGAGTTGTTTATGACTCGACGGCACTTAAAAACAACAACAATATATCATAGGTTTAAAATTCAAAAAGTACAAGAAAGGACAGAAAAGACTCCCCTTTCCGTATCCTCTCCCAGCCATTCATTTCCACATGCCCTCCCAAGAGACAACTAGATAGGGATATCTTTCCATAGATAAGCCACATATATGCATCTTTATAGTCACCTCCTTTAACCCTATGACAGCATCCTAGACACGCACTATTTTCACCTTGATCACTTCGCTCTCAGCAGAATGTCCTGGAGAGTATGCTATGTCAAAATGCAATTCCTTTTGTTTCGCCCTGGTACCTAGTATTCCCCGGCATTCCTATACCTTGACCAAGAGGCTGGAGTGAGAACAGAGCAGGGTAACACTGCATGGTTTAAAATTAGGAAAGTGTGTGTCAAGGTTGTATCCTTTTCTCCACACCTATTTAATCTGTATACTGAGCAAATAATTTGAAAACCTGGACTCTGTGAAGAAGAATGTGGCATCATGATTGGAGGAAAATTCATCAATAACCTTTGTTATGCAGATGACACAACCTTGCTTGCTGAAAGTGAGGAGGACTTGAAGCACTTGATACAGAAGGTTAAAACAGGGCAGCCTTCAATGTGGATTGCACTGCAACATCCAGAAAACAAAAATCGGGGCATATTCTTAGTTTTGTTTAGTGAGGCTCTGAAAATGCTGACTGGTGGGTCAGCTATGAGTCAGTTCCAATTGGATGGTAACGAGAGAGAAATATTCCATTTGTAACATAAATAGCTCATTAGTTCTTTATTAGTGGGCAGAGAGTTGCTTCTAGTTTTTCATTATTCAAACATTGCTCTGATGAGTATTTTTATACATACATCACTTAGCATGGGTGTGAGTTGTCTGTAGGATTAATTTGTATGAGTGTAAATGCTGAATCCAACTGATGTGCATTCATAATTGTAATGCAAGCATCGCCAAGCTGCTGTGTACAAAGGCTGTGGCAACAGACATTACCATGACCATGTGTGAGATAAGAAGACAAAGCTGAGAATCATAATGAAATAGACAAAGACCTGGAGTTAGAAAAGCAAAGGGCAAGAATATTCTCAGCATTTCTTAGGCTGAAGGAACGGAAGAGAACAATCAGAGCTTGAGCTGCAATGCTGAAGGGGCTCTACTGGTAAAAGGCTGAACGATACAGGAAAAATCAAAATGAGTTGGCAGGGATACGCAGTCCACTGTACCAAAAAGAACGGGTCAGCACTGAACCACTTCAGAAGGCAGCAGGTGGTAAGGCCCGATGGAACTGAAGGACAAAGTACAAGCCGCACAGAAAGCATCAGTAAAATAAAGAAAGCAAGCAAGTTCCAGGAATCGATGGGATCCCAGCCGAGGTGCTTCAGGAAGCAAATGCAGCACTGGGTGCTTCGCTCACTCACCTACGATACTGGAAAACCTGGCCCATCATCTGGAAGAGATCCATATCCGTGCCCATTCCCCAAAAAAAGTGAACTAACACCATGAGGATGGATGGCGAAGAGATTGAGATTGTTCACAGCTTCAGTTTGCTCGGCTCCACAGTCAACAGTCTTGGCACCAGCAGCCAGGAAATCAAAAAACATATCGCGATGGGAAAGTCTGCGGCTAGAGACCTCTCTAAAGTACTCAAGAGCAACGGTGTCACTCTGGAGACTAAGGTGCACCTGATACAGGCCATGGTCTTTGCAATCACTTGTTATGCACCAGAGAGTTGGACAATGACTAGGGAGGACAGAAGGAGAATTGATGCCTTTGAGCTGTGGTGCTGGAGAAGAGTATTGAATGTACCATGGACTGCCAAGAAAACAAACAGATTCATCGTAGAGAGGGTTAAACCAGGCTACTCCTTGGAGGCAAAGATTCTGGGGCTTCGTCTGACATACATTGGACATGTTGCAAGGAGAGACAGGTCTTTGGAGAGGGACATCATGCTGGGCAGAGTAGAAGGACAGTGCAGGAGAAGAAGACCCTCTATGAGGTGGATTGATTCAGAGACTGGGGTAATCGGGATGGGTGTGTCAGAGGCAATGAGATTGGCACAGGATAGAGCATGGTTTAGGGCTGTTGTACATAGGGTCACTATGAGTCGCAAACGACTCGACGGCACATAACAACAACAACAACACCATGAGAGAATTATTTGATATAATTAATATCATACATAAGTAAAGCCATGTTGAGAATTATTCCGAATTTGCCAGAGCAGAATACAGGCTTGTTTAATGGGGGTACGATGCTACCTCACTGTGGTTTTGATCTGCCTACCTCTGATGGCTTATGGACCCGAGTATGTCCTCATGTGTTTCGTGGTCATTTGAGTGACCTCTTTGGTGAGATGTCTAGACAAGTCCTTTGCCCACCTCATCACTGAGTTTTGATTTTAAGTTGTTAAAATGCTATATATATTTGGCCATTAAGTTCTTATTGGATATATGGTTTCTGAAGATATTCTCCCTGTTAGTTGCTTGTCTTTTCACTTTTTAAATATAGTATTTGGAATACAAGTTTTCCATTTTTATGAAGCCCCATTTCTTTATTTTATCTTTTGCTATTTGTGCATTTATTATTATACTAGATAATCCATTGTTAAAAGCTGGTTCTGACAGTGTTGTCCTACTTTTTCTTCAAAGAATTTATGCTTTTACTTTGTACATTTTGGTTTTTAATCTATTTTTAATTTTGTGTGTGTGGTATGAGGCATAAATCCTGTTTCATTTTTCCGTA